TGCTTAGTTCTTTCGTGAATATTAACTATTACCGGGTCACTCACAGTACACATTGACCAAAGGATAAAAATTATATATAAGCAAATTACAATATGCACTCCAAAGGACTGCTTGCTTTTTACTTCTAATTTTTATTGAAATTATTAAAAATGTCACTGGTTAAAGACATTTTAGTCTAATACAACAAAAACCTACAGGAAATAAAAAACAGTATTTTTTTCTATGAGACTAGCAAAGAAAATGAATGCAAGAAATTCTTCATGAACTTCCTGAGAGGAATGCGGCCATCAGGGTGAGCAGAGGGCCTTGGCAGTTTTTATACTGAGGCTGCGCGCATGGGTCTGGATACAGTATATGTCAGAGTGGGCTTGCCCTAGACAGAGACTGCAGGGGTGAGAATTAGCACTTTTCACGCGATGGTGTACTATCGGGACAGACTGCAATCTGAGAACGCACAGCCTACAAAAGCAAATGGCTAGGCTAGACAATCCTCTTTCTCTGGCTTTTGGCAAGAAGATGGCAGAAGAGGGGCTGGAAGTCTCATACATGCTCCAAGTGACTGGATTCCAAACTGTCAGCACCGAACAAAGGAAAACAGAAACACCTGAACCTGTAACCCACATCCTTCCTGGCTCAGACATAAACAGATCAAAGGGGTGCCGCATGGGTGGGAAGGGTTAGGCTCCACCTGGTCACCTCAGTCTAATTACAGGCACAGCCCAGATCCCGCATAACTAGACACCAGAGGGAACAGAATGATCAGCTCCTCGCACTTTTAAAGAAAGAGTGCACTTTGTTGTCATTCATGGAAATAAAATGAAGACAATGTTATACTTCAATTTCCACTGTCTTTTTTTATACCCACTCTCTGCAACAAAACTTAAAAATTACAAATTAAAAAGTCTAGACAGTTGAGCATCCCCAAGTAACCTTCCATCATCCAGCAGAAACTGAGTTTTTGGGATCCGACGGAGCAGTCCCTGATGGTTTGTCCATCCAAAGTGCACATGTAGCTCACATCACAAGCATGCGCACTTGTAATACTGCCCTGCATTTAGTATCTATGACTTCATGAATCAGCTGGCCATCTGTCATTCTCTGACTGGCACCTTCCCCACGAGACACTTTCCTTTGAATGAACACCCTTTCCTTTTGCATTTAGCTTTGATGACTTGGTAAATCCAGGTACTTTGCTCTCAAACCACTTAACCATTTAAGCCAAAAGAATTTCTTGAGACCCCTTTCTCTCAAAGCTCCAATTCTGCCAGGAGTGATTTTTTTTACCTAGGTTTGCACACTTACATCTAGGAATTTAGTTCTTGAATGGACAATTTAAACAACTGGGTTTCATTTAATGTAGTGGAGGAATAAAAGCATGATTATTGAGCAATTTCTTAAAAAAAAAAAAACCTTCTGGAACTAAGTTGGGTTCTTTAACTCCCCTTTGATCTCATCAGCTTCTCATGTCCTTCAAATAAATTCTTAGGTTAGCTAGAGTGGATTGCTTCCCACAGAATGCTACCATATTCTTCATACGTCTAAGACTATGGCTCAGTAAATAACACTCACTATGTGCCCACAAAGGAATTTTTTTAGGTGTTTCCATAGGGCACATATGCTCACTGGACAGACAGAGACAGCAAGAGGGAAAGTGAGAAATCAACCCCCAGGGGGATGGCCACACCACAATCCCCTCTCCTCTCAGGATTTTGGGCACCTATGCACATGTGTCCAGAGTGATTTTCTTTTTTCTTTTTTAGAATTATTTAACTTTATTTATTTTAACAGAGAGGTTTAAGCCAAAAGAATTTCTTGAGACCCCTTTCTCTCAAAGCTCCAATTCTGCCAGGAGTGATTTTTTTTACCTAGGTTTGCACACTTACATCTAGGAATTTAGTTCTTGAATGGACAATTTAAACAACTGGGTTTCATTTAATGTAGTGGAGGAATAAAAGCATGATTATTGAGCAATTTCTTAAAAAAAAAAAAACCTTCTGGAACTAAGTTGGGTTCTTTAACTCCCCTTTGATCTCATCAGCTTCTCATGTCCTTCAAATAAATTCTTAGGTTAGCTAGAGTGGATTGCTTCCCACAGAATGCTACCATATTCTTCAATCATCTAAGACTATGGCTCAGTAAATAACCCTAACACTCACTATGTGCCCACAAAGGAATTTTTTTAGGTGTTTCCATAGGGCACATATGCTCACTGGACAGACAGAGACAGCAAGAGGGAAAGTGAGAAATCAACCCCCAGGGGGATGGCCACACCACAATCCCCTCTCCTCTCAGGATTTTGGGCACCTATGCACATGTGTCCAGAGTGATTTTCTTTTTTCTTTTTTAGAATTATTTAACTTTATTTATTTTAACAGAGAGGGATAGTGTGAGAGAGAGAAAGTGAGAAAGCCAGCCACCAGGTCTGGGACTTGAACCATAGTCAGCAATGTGGGAGTCCAGTGACCTTTACCACCATGCCACCTGCTGGCTTCGCTTTTTCTTTTTTTAAAGAGGTTTTCACTTTAGGATGCATGTGCTCACAGGGGTGGTGTTGCGGAAGGGGGGAGACACACAGTGAGAGAAAAAGTGAGAAATCACCCTCCCAGGGAAGTGGCCACGCCATAATCCCTTTTCTCCTATTCTCTTGAGATTTTGGGCACACACACACACACACACACACACATACACACACACAGCAAGCCACTGAGTCCAGGACTCAAACTGTGGTCAGGCACATGGAGTCCAGTGTTGTAACTGCTATGCCATCTGCTGGCCCCCAGCATGATTTGCAAGTCACCAGGAACCAGACTCAAAGGTGGCTGGCCGTGTAGGAAGCTACCATGCCACCTGCTGCCCCCTCCACAAAGGCCTTTTTTTTAACTGGATGATAGCCTATATTTGAGTATCTTGGTTTTTATTTTTAAAGAGAGATTTTTTTTTACTCTATGGTGCATGCGCTTGCTGGACAGACAGAGACAGACAGAAAGTGAAAAATCACTCCCAAGGGGATGGCCATACAGCAACCCTTCTCCTCTTGGGATTTTGGGCATACATGCACAATTGCAAAATACATTCCCACTTCAGTATTTTAGCGATGAGACTCTCTTGGGTAGTTTAATATTAATAGTATAAGATTTACACCAATGTTACTAGACTATTTTCTGGCTTTAGTCACATGTTTAAGTCTAATCCGTTTACATATAGCATCAGTGTTATACATGCCAGTAATATTTTAGTTCATTTGGTTAGGAGACCATATTTAACAAGGTTCAGGTTCTCCTCAATACAACTTCAAGAACATAGTGATGTGACCAGAAGTTTTTCCAATCTGCGTAAAAAGTTCACTTTTGAAAATATTAGAAAATTCTATCTTTGATGACTGTAACTATTTTAATTATAAAGATTTCTTTCACCTCTAAATGGAATGGTTTTAAGGCTTTGAGGCATCCAGTTGGTGCTAGAGTTGTTTTGTTTTATGAGAGAGATTTTTGCTCTAGGGCACGTGTGCTCACCGAAGACAGAGAGACTGAAGGTGAGAAATCACCCCCAGGAGTTATATGGCCACTCTGCAATCCCTTCTCCTCCAATCTCCTCTCAGGATGCTGGGCACGTACACACACGCGCCCGGCGTGAGGTTTAAGCCACCATGTCCAGGACTTGAACTGTGGTCAACTATGTGGGTGTCCAGTGACATAACCATTACGCCATCTGCTGGTCCCAGTGCTAAGAGTTTTCTTATGGACAATATATGCTCAGTATAGTCTACTCAATATTTTGATTTTAAGAGAAACCGAAAAAAGATTGTAAAAAATACATCATCCCATTTATTTTCTTTATCCAGAAGAATGCTGTAATATTTGTCCACAAACAATGCAATTCTGGTAAAAAAAAATTACTACCAACGAGATGATGCAATTTTTACACAAGCACACACAAAGTTAAGACAGTCTCATTGAGCACCAATCTATAAAATACAGCTAGTGGATAAGGCTAGGTTATTATGGTCCATAGAGAACATTAGGTTACCCCAGGCCAGGTCTTAACATGATGGATTTTGGGTCTACATGAAGGTGGGGGTTTTGATGACAGAGAAATAGTAAAGGAGATACTGGATTCAAATACCGAGTCTAAACTATGAAAAAGGGGACTGGGAATAGTCTGAACACACCAGGCTTACCAGAAGTCCCGTCCAACAATAAGGCTGTAAATGAACATCACAAAGGTGGCTCTTTCCGCCTGAATTTGGGAGTACAGGCCTGGTAACGAGGACACGTACGGCAGTGTGTAAAGTACTAATACTGACGGCATGACGGCTAACACTTGGGCAGTGTGCTGAGTGCATCACATGCATTATCTCACCTGACCCTTTAAGAGGGTGTCATTCTTACCCCATGTTATAGATGAGAAACTGAGGCTCAGAGAAAAAAGGTAACTAGTCCAAGGACACATAGTTAATAGCGAGCCTGGACTTAAACTCGGGCAGCCTTATTCTTAATCCAGTACTCGTCAAGTGTTACCCAGAATGAAATCTCTTAGAACTTAGAATTCAACTACATATGTGAAATGCATGTCAAAAACACAAGGACAGCTATTAACTAACACCAAGAGGTCTTTAAATTCACAGGAAAATAAGGTTCCCTTAATTATATTTTATGGCCTTAAGATGCCTAGATGAATGATGGTTGCTGAGATCAGTATATTTTTCCAACTTCATTCGATGATTAAAAGAATAACAAAGTTAGTTAATGACTACTATGGGGTATTCTGAATTTAAAAGAAAGGACTTGAGGGAGAGCTACATCACCCCTTATTTTTGATCAGTATGTCATCAGATTAAAATGAAATGATTAAATAATGGAATAATTAGACACTGAAATGTATGCTATAAAAGTGTGAAAGTTACATGGTAAGATCAAACAGTCCAAACACAAGTTTTATACATAAACATAAACAGCTAAACAAAAGCCAGAACATTTCAAATAACTGAAAATGACCAAAGATTAAGTGGAGAAAAATCAATAGAGGGATCCCTTTATTACATTTATAAAATAATAACATAAATTATTAAAAATGGGACAAGTTTTTTATTTTTGGTATATTGTATTTGCATTAAATTTTTCCATCATGTTTCATAACTTGCTCTTTTGTTACCCATGTCTTCTGCAATCTCTACCTCACCATTCAAAGTACAATTAAAGAATAAATCCCCGATAGGTTTTCATGAGACATTATCAGAGAAATTAATCCAACAACTCATGTATAAAGATTGAGAGTTTTCAAAGAAATACAACAAAAACACATGAAGCATAATTTAACCTTTCTGATGATTCAGAAGGCACCTCAAGATTGTGCTGTGCCATTTTCCTCATGCTGTGTCTAAGTGCCTATAACAGAATTCTGGTCAGTGGAATTTTGAAAAACAAACGGTGTTTCAAATGTGCTCACAAGACATCAGAGGGCCACAGATACAATATGGGAATTGTGATGTGTGCATTTGTACCAAACTAGGACACACTATGTAATATGCTAAGAACTTTAAAAATTAAAGTTACAAAATGAGTATTTTTAGCACATTTAGTAACAACTATTTTATTGTGGGTGACCGAATTATATTTGACCATAATTAAAGAACATACAACTTTAACCTTAAAAAAACATAGTTACCACAGTACTGTTTACACTGAGCAATAAAAGAAAAGTCATATACACACACTGATGGGAACTGAGGTTTTCAAACTCATTCTTTAAAGGCTTTTAATCCACCTTCATGTAAATCAACTTAAAATGTTAAAAAATATTTCTCCTCAGTGAGCTCACAGAGAGGTAGTCAGTCTTGATCACATGACTAACCACCATTCAACGATGGTCACCGAACAATGACCACTGAACGGATATTCCTATCTGACCATCCTGCCTACCGTAACTGAGCCACAGGTATACCCCCAAGTGTGGTTCATCCAACTAACCAACTGCAGACGGAGAAAACAGCTGAAACAAGTGACAGCGGGAAATGGCTGAATCGTGGTACCTTTTAGTCCAACCTTAAATCTTGGTTTCAACTATATACTATTTGGTACTTTTGGATTCAGTAGTTGGGGTTAAAAAAAAGTTTCCGTATTCAAACATATCTACAGAATGTCGATATAAAATGTGTGGATATATACACTTGACTCACACACACACTCTCTCTCTCTCTCTCAGTCTCTCTCTCTCTCAACATGTCTGGGAACCGGCACCTAGCCACATCCCCATTTCTCACTAACGAGCCAATGAACATTTATTACTTTAAGACCAGCTTAGATTCTATAAGGCTGTAACATATGGCTAAAGAGGTCAAACACAAGCACCCACACTCAGGCTGTTATATTGTTCCTCCTCATGATTTCTGACAAGTGGTAATACCATTTATATAACAACTATATCTCAATAACTTAGGATTCAGAGTATAAAACCATAAACATCGAACTCCTTCGTTTAAAGAGCAGTCGTTCCATTCTATCTCCACTGACTGTAAGAGTGCACACCGATGAGATCACCGAACGGTACAAATCATTTTTACTCTTAATCTAAACACACATGGGTCAGAACATTCTGAAACGCTGCATCCTTTGATTTCTTCATTTTTTCAATTGCCCGATGCAGGTCCTGTTGTTGCACAGGCCGGATTTCATCTTCATCATGGCTACAATGCAAATAAAACCACGAAATATTCAAATAATTTTAGAATACACCTAAAAATGTATGTAGTAAAAATAAACGTCTTCAACTGTATGAAAGGATGTAACAATGAAGTTTCTTTTCCATTCAAGACCCAAAAGACAACCATGGCTGACAGCTTCGTGCAAATTCTTCTGGGAATCATCTAGGCACACACAAGTCATGAGAGACTTTTAAGAAGCACTGACTGCTACAGGGAAGGAAGCCAAAACGGCTGCTACAGGCAACGTTTCCCACCAAGAAGACAAGTACAGTTACTAGCATAAGGTGATAACTTTATATAAAGGTGTATTAGCTAATCCAAATGGAAATAGAGGGCCAGTCAAGAAATCCAAAATTATTCCCATGAAACTAGCATTTAAAAGTATCATTCCTAGGGGTACATGTTTAGCTTTTTATTAGTTAAAAGTAAAATTTTTTGCTATCAAGGACAACCAACTAATCTAAGTTTTTCCCACAATAAGAAAAACAAAATCCAATGTATTATGCCTACTTTGTAATCTACAGACACTTACGGAAAAACATTCAGGGAAAAGTTATGATAACCCAAGTCTCCCTATTATTCATGTTCAAATATAAAACTATAAAATAAAATTCAATATAAAATATAAAATTAACCAATTTTTCATAATAAAATATAAAATTTTCTGAGTTTTAAGCAGCAGAAAAACCTGTTTTTCATTATTAATGTAATTTATTTCAGCAAAATTCATTTACAGGTTAGTATGTCTTTTTTTTTTTTTTTTTTGAGAGATTTTTGTTACAGGGTGCATGCACTCGCCAGAGAGACAGTTGGCAAGAAATCACCCCCTAGGGGGGATGACCATGCTGCAATCCCTCCTCCTCCATTTTCCTCTCAGGATTTTAGGCATGCATGCAGACGTGCCTAGGCATCAGTTCTAAGCTGCTGGGTCCAGGACTTAAGCTGTGGTTGACTACGTGGGAGTCCAGCGACGTAACCATTACGGCGTCTGCTTGTCTTATGGTTATGTGTCCTTTTAATTATATATGTATATATGACTCTGTTAGGTAGATTGTATCTACAGAGTTAAAAAATCTTCCCAACTAATAAAGTAGCTGCATTAATCTGGCAACAAATAAATGGAATAAACCTGAGTGAGGCCTAAGAGAGTAGGAACGGGACCCAGAACTGCATATGCAGCTTCAGGCTGACAGTGTTGCTTTCACAATTACCTTTCTATACTAAAAAGTGAGTTTGCTTTGGTGAAGTTGCTAAATACCATAGGTAAGTCATGGTTACTTGGAGACAAAACCTCACAGAGCTAAAGAAGGAAGACCAAGAAACGAAGGGGCAAGATTATTGAAGAATTTATTCAATGCAACCCTCCAAAAGCCACTGGGAGTCACCAGAATTCTTCAATAGCAGGTTGACGGTCTAAGAGGAAATGCAGTATAATACTGGTTCAGGGCAAGGGTCCTTTTGGGAAACTCCTTTAAGGGACATAGTTCCTTAGGGATCAATCATTCCAGTTCATTCGTATCTTTGCTGGAATAAGGCTGGTACAGAACTGATTTCTCCAATACACCACACTTGGATACTGCTTTCAAGGACATTCTGCTGCTGACAAATGCTTTCTTTTTTAGAAAATACACTGCTGCTAACAGGCTGAAGTCTCATCCTTGTGCCTCTGTGCGCCTAACATGTGCATTCTGGAAGAACAGGCACTTGTTGCTACACGGAACGGAGTTTAAGAAGTAGATGCAATCGAGGGGGATTAGAGAACCTGCTTTCCTGACAGAGGGGAACAAGCCTAGGTTTCTGTCAGTTTCTGTGACCCATTCCATGTATTATTAATAGAATTGAGGTTTTTTCTTTCATTCTAAATCATTCTCACAACCCTTTCCCCACTTATTTTTAGGACTCCCCTTTAGAAAATGGCAATAAATAAGCTAGGGAGTCGCTAATTCAAATTTATATTTTATTCTATAAACCAGATTGATAAAGCAAAATCAAAGTTCTACAATTTTTCGACAAGTATCAGAAATGAAGACAAAACACACGTACCTTTCTCCTGATGCAGAGTTCACATACTCCCTGACACAGAGGAGGGCAGCATCTCGACACATCTCTTTTAGGTCACTTCCTGAAAACCCATCAGTTTCCTGGGCAACTTCTAGCAGGTCTACATGCCTATCCACCTTAAACAAATATGAAATACACTTTAAAAACAAATATAAAACATAATGCAAAGGATATTTCAAACATTCCCCTTAAAGCAAGTTAGGCATCTGAACATTAAAATGTGTGTACAAGGGCCAGGTAGAGGGGCAGCAGCAATGCCCTGGACCCACATAGAAAAGGTGCTGGTCTGTACCGGGGACCTCCCTGAACACGCTGAGTATGTGTGTGTGCCCACGACCCAGGTTGGCTGAGACTGGGCGTGGATCATGGCAGGAAGACCCCAGTGGGGGTCCTGCCTCTGCCTGTATTTCTCATGAAAGAAATAAATGAATACTTCTCAGTTACTGGAATTATTTTAATCATAAAGGCTTAGAAATTTAGTATCTAGTTTTCATTATTTGTCATCATCACTGAAATAGAAGTCTTACTAGATACAATGCAGAGTGATGGGGAAGAACAGACATTCAAACACTTAGATTCACTTTGATAACTCTCAAGAAGGTAACAAGTCCTCATTTTTCTTTTTAATTTTTTAAATTTATTCATTCTTTTATTTTAATATAACCAGAGACACATACGGAGAGAGAGAGAGAGGAGAATTGAGAAAGCAAGCCATCAGGTCCAGGACTCGAACCATGGTCAGCCATGTGGGAGGGTCCAGAGCCTTAACCACCACGCCACCTGCAGGTCCCAACAAGTTCCCATTTTTCTATAGTATAGTCAACATACTCAACCAATAAGCTGCATAATTAAGTCCAGAGTCCACAACTAAGAAACACACTCCACTTAATACTCCTTTTAACTGTAATGCTGTGGTGTTCTGCCACTTCAACATCAAGTCAGCACCGACAGTTTTGCTCTAAGCTTATAGTCAGGCCAATTAAGTGATCATCTGAGTCACAGAACAGGCTTGGGATAATATAATCTTCATAATAAATTTATGTGATTAAAAGAAAATGAGCAAGAAAAAGATGTATTTCTGACCACTCTCCCTTAAGTGATTCTATGTCTCATCCACCGTACTGAGCAATCTCTTAGGTTGTCGGGAAAGTCATGATGTAGTCTTCTGTTTTCCTATGCAAAAGTCCACCATGACTTTCCAGACCACCCAGTATATGAACTGTTCTCATTTAATCATGTCAGGTAAATATCATTTTTATTGTATTTTGGGGTAAGAATCATGAGACATGGAGAGGTTAAAAGGTCAGAGCCAGGAAGTAGACTCTCTGTATTGATAGTAGAAGACCAACTGTATTTCTCCCCCTACAGCTAACCACACCACCTCTCTTAACAGTTACTTTCCCCCAGTGATTTGAAATGCTGCCCTATTGGGACCAGCAGTTAGCGTAATGGCTATGTTGTTGGACTCCCACGTAGTCGACCGTGGTTTGATTCCCAGACCCAATGGCTTAAACTCACGCCGGGCGCGTGTGCGTGCGCGCCCAAGATCCCAAGAGGAGAATGGAGGAGAAGGGATTGCGGCATGGCCATCCCCCCGGGGTGTGATTTCCTGCTTTTTGTCTCTCTGTTTCTCTCTGTCTGTCTGGCGAGCGTACGTGCCCTATAGCAAAAACCTCTCCAAAAAAAAAAAAAGAAGAAATGCTGCCCTATTAGTTACTAAGTTCCCATTTTGATCTGTAAGATACTCAGTATTTAAGCAAGAACACGAAGACCAGAGCCATCTTGGAATCCATTGCCAGCACTGTAACTGACTTCACATGACAGTGCTCTCATTCTTGCATGTGCGGAGTTAAATGAAGGGAACTAAATGATGCATTCTTTGATAAAGAGAAAACTGAACACAGAACATGGGAGTGATGCAGGCAGCAACACAAATTTCAGTTATATAAACAGTAGTACGAATCATGAGCCCACAGGTGCAGAAGCAGGGGGAACTCGAAGCTAGACAATAACATGTAGGAGAGGAGACACATGCACTGAGGCACTCTGAGGCCTTGTGTTACATATAGCATTGTTTTGTTGTCGTAGCTTAAATCACCAGAGGATGTGTGCTCGCCCAGGAGACTGAAAGACAAAGAGGGAAAGACAGAGGGCAAGAAAGCACCTCCTCATGGGGCATGGTCATGCCGTAATTCCCTTTTCCACTTCTCTATCCTGTCTGGATTTGGGGATGCATACACGTGCCCAGCAAGTTTTTCACATCACCAGGGCCAGGATTCAAACTGGTTGGCCATGTGAGGTCCATCTTCCTTAAACACAGGGCCATGGGGCTGGGCTTACAATTACAGCATTGGAAAGAGGCACAGACATTATTAGACTTCATGTATCTATGTCAAAAAATTTTAAGGGTATCAGTAAGGTTAGAAAGAAAATGTGTAACTTCCCAATAAGAGGAAGTTGGAAAAAAAAAAAAAAAAGAGAGAGAAAGAAAGAATGTATTAGCATCCGAGAGCAATACTAATCCTGGACAAGAGGTAGAGTGGGGGGGATAAAGAAAAAGCATAATACATAAAAAATGTCAATAATAAATTATGGATCGAAATGGCTCAACAAGACAGCACTTACTTATGTGCAGTTATTACTGTATCTACCATTGACTGACACCTGCTAATATGGCTGGTACTCTATGGGCTATACGTAGAATTTTATTTAAATTCTCAAGAAGATTCTATGAGACTGCTGTCATCCAGTTGCCAAATGAAAAATGTGGCACAGTATTTGTCCAAGGTCACAGAGCCAGGAATGACCACGCCAGAACGTGGGGGATCCCGAGGTCTGTTTTCCAAACCCATGTTCGTAATTTAATTATTCCTGCCGTTATGTAAGTAAAATGCATAAATTCAGATAAGCATGTAAGGGAGGAAAAAGCTTACCTCCTCACTTTAGAGTTAGGGCATAAATTAATTGTTACTAGTGCTAACTTTTAATACTTAAAACTTTAAGCCAAATCACTACTACACGATCTTTAACATAAGCATGTTATATTAAGAAGTAACTATTGGGGCCAGCAGGCGGTGTGGCAGTTAAGGGCACTGGACTTCCACATGGCCAACTGCTGTTCAAATCCCAGGCCTGGAGGCCTGCTTTCTCACTTTCTCTTTCTCTGTCTCTCTCTGGTCAAATTAAAAAATAGATGTAACTATCAACAGAAAAGTGTAAAAGGGGGTGGGATTTGGTGCCGCGGTATACACAACCCTCTTATATGGCTGACCACATTGGCAGGTTCTGGGTCTACATCTAGGGACCTGCCCAGGCAGCCAGGCACTCACTCCCATGTTCATGACCCAGGCTGGCTGAGGCTGGGCTACTGGGAGTGAGGTCTCTCTCTCTCTCTCTGTCTCTGTCTCATTCATGGAAGAGTAAATAAACTTAAAAAAGGAACTGTAGAACAGTAGTAGAGCACAATATCAGCTCAAAACCTTCAATCCTGTCTTCAGGGAAGAAAAATTCATAAATATATAAAACTCTGGTCATTTATTTATGTCAAAAAGCCCTTACTCTGCTCAGCAATGTACAAGCATGATGATGTTCCCTTTACTAAATAAATGTGTACACTACTGATTTGAGACATCTTTTAGCAAAATGTCATAAATTACTTTCAGATTTGGTTGAAGTAGCGATGTGCTTCATCATATAAATACCAGCTTGTGGAGAGGAGATGGCCCCATGTCAGCAAGGATCCAGACAGCATTGGTACTTCACACCATGAAACTGGTAAGAGACTAGATCTCTGAGCTTTCATGAAGGAGAAACAGGATGCTAAAAATTCCCTGCCCCATAATAAATGCAATTCTAAAAAAATCCCTATCAAATAGAAAAACAAACTGGGAAAAATATTTTCAAATCACACAAAAAGCAAATCGCCCTAATACGAGGTCAGTTCCTACAAATCTGTAAAAAAAAAAAAAAATAAAGAACACTACAACACAAAAGCAAAGAATATTAACGTACAATTCATGGAAATAAAAAATTCAAATGGCTCTTAAACACATGATACTCATTTCATCTCTAAAGAATGCAAACTAAAACTACAATTAAATGCCAGTTTTTATCGATCATGTTGCCACAAAGCTCCACAACACAATGTTGGCAAGGCTAAGGG